CTTATATATATATATATATATATATATATCAGCCCTCTTTGTTTTTCTGGGCCAGGTGTTTAGGGCGCTCGACTCACAATCTGCGGGTCGTGGGTTCAAATCGCCGTCACACCAAACATGTTCACCATTCAGCCGTGTAGACCAATAGTCGGCTAAATTAGATACGGCTAGCGCAGATAGCCCTCGTGTAGCTTTGCGCAAAATTCATAACAAACAAAATGTTTTTAAATTTAGATATCATTACGTACCATATAGCTAATTATGTCTACTTATGCCAGTATAAACAGCGTTAAGATAGCGCATTAGGTGTTTTAAGACAGCCGAACTTATAAATCCTGAAATTAAACAAAATATCTTACAACAAAGTCACATTTTCTCACTGAAACCTTATATTGAGACAATATATTACTGTGATTCTTCGTCTTGCATCATGAAATGGTGCTATAAATTAATATTTCATTTTTTCTAGGTACTTACCAGTTTCCGGCGGACGAGTTAATTATACGCCTGCACACAGACACGTACGTAAATGAAAAAGGATTTTTTTTAACAGCAAAACAAATATCCTGTTGAGTACTGTATCTATGAATGCTTTTGTCATTATCTGCTTCACATATTTCTAAAATGAAACCACGCTATTATTAATGTGCATATTTAACAATTGAACTTGATTCAATATATGAAAATCACACTATTATTAATTTGTATATTTAAAAATAGAACTTGATTCACTATGTCAAAACCACACTATTATTAATGTGAATATTTAAAATAGAACTTGATTCACTATGTCAAAACCACACTATTATTAATGTGAATATTTAACAATAGAACTTGATTCAATAGATGAAAAACCAGATGTTAAAATTGAACAATACATCATTTAAAGTTTGATCAAATGTAAACTGCTTTATAGACGAGTAAGTACTTATTTCTTTTGTTCTAAAACTTCAATAAAACTTTTGTATACTTTTCATTCATTCTTTTTGTTCATTAATGCTTCTTTGTCCTTATTACTTAAGGCCAACAGAAGTTTTTAAGTGTTCAGGTCAAAAGTTTTAAGTCGACTGCCATTCTTAACCATTTATAATAATAGTTAGTAGAAACCGAGTAGTGATACCTCTTATTTCTGAGACTGAAAACTTTATGGATGCAATAAATTGCATTAAAGTCATGAAACTTGGTCACAAATACATTTAGTGTTATAACTTTACGAAATACATCATATTTTCTTATACATCGAAGCAGAATCCATGGTTTTGTGTAAAACATTCCCACAAAGAACATTTGTAATAAATTCTTAGTTAATATCTCCATTCAGTTCTTTGTTGTGCATAAAATCAAGACGAACTTTTTATTGGTTAAAAGAATCATGTGGCATGTAATTTTCAAAGATATGATAGTTATCTAACATGTAACTGAAACTTCTGGCCAATGATATATTAGGTAGCAATTTGGTATATATACTTGTAGTTCGGGTACGTTTACCTAAATTTTAATCCCGTTTTACATAGAGGTATATCAGATTCTGGTATGCGTTTTTTTATTGTTGTTTAAGCTTGATAATCACAAAACTTTACTCCTTGGGTTGACGGCATTGTACGGTACCTAGAAAGGCCCAGCCTGGTAGAGAAAATATTAATTTGCACTTAGCTTCATTTGTAATATCAATTCTTAGACATATTTGTTATGTTATGTAAATTTGTATATTGTTAGAGAAGTTTTCAAAAATAGTGAATAAATCTAAATTTCTTGTAGAGTATATCTGAAATCACCATTGCAACTGAAAGGTCATTAAGGTCATAATAGTTAATAGATTGGCAAACGTTCAAGATATCAGTACGATATTAATTTGAATTCTTATGACACATTTTTTTCTAATTTTAAAATATTTTTCCAAAATAAACAAATATTCAATACATCTTTTAAACACACAAACAAGTTACATAATGATCAAATCAAAAAGAAAAATCATCAAGTTATTTTGATATTAGTTGCTTATCTGGTGTCTCTTTAGCTTGTTTAATTTCAACGATACAACTCCAAAGAAGCCTTCTGTGGTATTTCCCGGTACGTGGACTTCTCGCAGAGATATGACCCACTAAGTGGAAGCTGGAAGGATACCAAGTTACAAAGTGTGTGTTTGTATAGCTGTCTGAATTCTGACTGAGCTCATCATGAAGAAAGAGTCGAAATTCAGACATTTCACCACAATCTTACTAACACACAGTTACAGAATACAAAACTAAACAAGGCAGGGACAAATGGATTTGTGGTGAGTGTATTGGACTGGCGAGAGAGAGAAAGAAAGTGAAATATTTGTGATCTATTTCCATTGTGCCCACCCCCCCTCGTAAGATAAACTACAACACTAAAATATAAAATAAAACAATGTTTCGCACCGTGAAAACAAAGTTAAAGTTACAATGTATTCAAAGTTCTAAATCAAAAAGCTAAAGTCGAACAAGATCTTAACAACAAAATCTCTAAACAAAGGAGAGCCTGGTTGTTGACACTAAAAATATAATAACATCACACTAACCCATGTCACCCCCGAACCACGTGACTTTCGTCCACTAAAACTCAAGCGCAAAGCGGGGGCGGGGGGACGAAAGGTCATGAACTGATTCGCTGACAGAAAAGACAGCCTTCTATTTTGGAACGTCATGAGCTATTTTTTCCTGCAAGATAACGTGGTTGATAACCAATTAGTGAATCCTTGTTCCAGGCAGATCTAGAATGAGGAAAAGTTGGATGTGTTTGCTTGAGAGAGTTTCTGAATTGAAAGAAAAACATAAATTTCGAAAAACGTTATATATTAAATAGTGAAGTAAAAACACACGCAGTACTACACGTCGGATATTACGAATATATTCACTGTTTTTCTTACCTTGTGATAATGAAATTCTGTAATTGATTTCAATTAACTATATTATTTATAAATACTACTGTACCTACTGAATCCCATATTTCACCATACACGATCGTGTGAGAAAGCGTGCGTGATACTTTTCCGAAATCTTCTAGAATCATAATTGTGATGTCAAGTAAAAACAGTAAAAAAACACATTTCTGTATTTTGCGTGTTCTCATAGCTTAACAATTACAGATGTCTGAATACTCATCATGATGTCATTCATGAGAAAGATTTGTTCTGAGCTGAAGCAGTTTGAATAAAAGATAAATAGAGAACTAGATCAAAATCGTTATTCTATGACATAGCATCAGATATAGCTTCAGTTATTGACTTTGAAAACAATATGAAAACAATAAAAGAGAATTGTGATTTTGAAGTTGACTAATCCAACTTCTTTTAACGTTAAGTTGTGAAGAGTTTTACGCAACTATGGTCAGTGCAGATGAGTAAAAAAAACTAATCACAGCTCTTTGGTCAGTAAAATATTCGTATAGTGTTTAATAGGGAGACGTTTATTTGAAAAAAAAAGGTGATGATGAATAACACAAACAATTCATCGTTTGGGTAATATACCCATAATGAAAATGTAACTATGTCTACGCTCCTGTACATTTGACTCCTATAATAATTTTAAACTAGTGTTTTCTTGTTTTTCTTTCTTATGTTTACACAAAATAATATATAACGCATAGTTTTAGGTTGAACTTTTCAATCGATCTAGCACAGACTATTCTTAAAGTATTAACTAAACTCGTATTTCTGAACAGTTAAACGGTTCAGGAATAACAATACAAATCTTAAGAGAACTTCATACTAATAAAAGGTACCTTTAAAATTATACCCTTTAAGAAAAGCTAAGGATTGTTTCATGAATTTCTTTGCATTTTGTTTCCAATATTTTGCTTAACTTATCTTCAATGTTTTACAAGATCTATCTACGAAACACAAAACATAGTGTTGCGTCAGCGAGGTCACGTGACTAGTGTCATGCCACTCGTTTTTTCGAACCTTCGTGAATTCCCTAGCATTTAATAGTCTGGTATATAAGACGCTCACACCGTGACGGGATAATGTGTGTAGGTAGTGAGTAATTGAACTGCAGTCAGAAAGTATTGTTGAAGTTAACGTTCGTTGTTAAAACTTTTGTGTATCGGTAAAGTTATATTCAGAAAGAAAGTTTCGTCGGAACGAAGTTACGGAAAATCAATTAACAAACGGAGACGTAACAATAAGTTAAAGAAAGTGGAGACAGAACAAAACAATAATATGATAACCAAGGTTCACTAACAAAAGCTGTTTGTTTATAGATATTATAATTGAGGTCCTAAACATATACCACAACCTATATTTGTACACGTAAAATAACGGCTACTAAACCAAACACCAAATATATAACACCTATCAAGAGATAATATTATGGCTGCATCACTGATTTCAAAAATTAGGAATCATCCACGAAAAAAAAAAAGATAGTCCAATTTAGGCTACTAAAGATTTGTTCTATTGGACAGAAAACTTATATCCTGAGAAAAAGTAAACAAGATAAACCTGCTAATTACGTTTATTCCCTTAATTTTTATTACACAAAATTTCTCAAATTTGTTCTTGTAATTAACTTTAATAAAAGATTACATTATCATTCTGTGTCCACCAGTCCGAAATTAAAATAGAAAGAGTAAAACTTCTTAAAGATTTCATTATTATTCTGTTTCCACCAGTCCGAAATTAAAATATAAAGGGTAAAACATCTTCTTAGTCATATTTCCAGTTCTAGTGTGTGTTTTTTTTCTTTCTATGCACAGCGAACAAATTATAGTTTTGATGAAACTTGTTGTCGAGTAGTTATGGTGATAAAGATAAGTATTCGTTTCATGTAAGTAACGTCAACAGTTTGGGCAAAAAAAAAAAAATAACTAGAGCCTGACAACTATTCGTTTCATGTAAGTAACGTCAACAGTTTGGGCAAAAAAAAAAAACTACGAGCCTGACAACTATTCGTTTCATGTAAGTAACGTCAACAGTTTGGGCAAAAACGAAAACAAAAAACTCGAGCCTGACAACTATTCGAGTCACGCTACACGCTCTTCCACTCTGATGGACGTGTTTGGATATGGAGGATGCCTGGAGAACGCCTATTATATGAGTGTGTTGTTCGGAGGTTGCGCATCATGGTCTGGAGTGCTTCTTGTGGTATGGACTAGGTCCACTGGTCGCAGTGCTTGAATCCATGAGTCCTACATTGATGTTCTGAACAATTCTGTGTGTGTCCTACATTGTGACTATTTATGGTACCGATCCTTACACCTTACAGCATGATAATGCTTCATGTAGCAAAGCAAAGATTGTGAACGCGTGATTTGAAGAGAATAACACCGGAACACTGCAGTGGCCAGCACAGATCCCCAACCTCAACCCGATAGAACATCTTTGGGATCAATTGGAACGCAGAATTATGTCAAGGCTAAGATGGCCCTCTTCAGTAATGACGCTTACTAATGCTTTAAAGGAGGAATGGAGCACAATACCACCAACTTTCTACCAGAAATTAGTAGACAGTCTTTCATAACGTATCGAAACAGTCATTAAGGCCAAAGACGGGCCTACACGCTAATAATTTCTTGGAACAGAGACATGTTTTATTTATAACTACGCGTGTCCCATGACTTTTGGTAGGATAGTGTATGTACTTATTTTTATACTTCTCATTCTCGTCTTGTCCATAACTTATCTTCACCCAGAAAGGACGATTTGTACTTATCTACTTACTGCTAATATTCCTGATGTATAATCACCTGTTTACCCATTGATTATTTTCACTTAGGAAAGACGGTTTGTATTTATCTAAGGTGATTATACACCATGAATATTAGCAGTAAGGTTTACCCATTGATTATTTTCACTTAGGAAGGACGGTTTGTACTTATATGCCTACTGCTAATATGCATGGTGTATAATCACCTGTTTACCCATTGACTATTTTCACTTAGGAAGGACGGTT